AGCACTCGGGCCCAGACCTTACCCGCGACCAAATACATCAGAATCCACTTTTGAAAGATTCTTGATGATTCTGACACCAGGACTCAGCTCGTGGCTCCACAAAGCGCTGCTATATGCGCAGCGAACTAGGGGCCTGACCTGCTCAGGGCTCAGCCACTGTGGGTCTCGGCCGGGCCCAGGCCAGTGGCTTCCATACAAGTTGATGCGCTGCTCCTTGTCACCTCTCCTAGGTCACCTTCGCGAAGCCCCCTCCCCGCTTATGATACATTCCCCCCAGATGCCACCGTTCCAGAGCCTGACCCACCAGTCGCCACCCCAGCAAAATGTCCAGCCTAAGAAGCAGGTAAAGGGCAGGGCTGGGCCACAGCCCCCAGGGCCAGGTGTGGGCCGGTGCCAGAGGCACCCACCTGCCTCACCGGCCACCGTGCCTGTGCCGTCCCAGGAGCTGCGCGCGGCCTCTGTGGTCCAGCCCCAGCCCCTGGTGGTGGTTAAGGAGGAGAAGATCCACTCACCCATCATCCGCAGCGAGCCTTTCAGCCCCTCGCTGCGGCCAGAGCCCCCTAAGCACCCGGAGAGCATCAAGGCGCCCGTTCACCTGCCCCAACGTGAGTGCCCTCTCTGCCCCCGGCCTGCACTGGACGAGAGCTTTCTGTGGGCTTATTGACTGTGCCCTGCTGGGCTTGGGGGCAGGGGGGAATGGGCCCCAGCCGAGGCCCACAAGCTGTTTGTGTTCCAGGGCCTGAGATGAAGCCTGTGGACGTCGGGAGGCCTGTGATCCGGCCCCCTGAGCAGAATGCACCCCCACCAGGGGCCCCCGACAAGGACAAACAGAAACAGGAGCCGAAGACACCAGTTGCACCCAAAAAGGTAGGAGCAGTGAGTCCACGAGTGTCCCTCACTCCAGGGAGGCACCTTGGTGGGTGTGCCCGCAGGCTCTGGGCCTCTTGGCAGGGCCCCTCACCCCCCACCCTGTGGTCTCTCTGCCTGGCAGGACTTAAAAATCAAGAACATGGGCTCCTGGGCTAGCCTGGTGCAGAAGCATCCCACCACCCCGTCCTCCACAGCCAAGTCCTCGAGTGACAGCTTCGAGCAGTTCCGCCGCGCTGCCAGGGAGAAGGAGGAGCGCGAGAAGGCCCTGAAGGCGCAGGCCGAGCACGCGGAGAAGGAGAAGGAGCGGCTTCGGCAGGAGCGCATGAGGTGGGCTGGGGCTGCAGGCAGCCTGGGGTTTTCTGGGGCTTGCTCTACCCTCCTTCCCGCCCCCCGCTCACTGGCGGCTCTGGCCTGCTCTCCTCAGGAGCCGGGAGGATGAGGATGCGCTGGAGCAGGCCCGGCGAGCCCACGAGGAGGCTCGCCGGCGCCAGGAGCAGCAGCAGCAGCAGCGGCAGGAGCAGCAGCAGCAGCAGCAGCAGCAGCAGGCGGCTGCGGTGGCCGCGGCCGCCGCCCCCCAGGCCCAGAGCTCCCAGCCCCAGTCCATGCTGGATCAGCAGAGGGAGTTGGCCCGAAAGCGGGAGCAGGAGCGAAGGCGCCGGGAAGCGGTGAGCGGGGGGGACCTCTGGGCAGGGGCTGCGAAAGGGGGCCGTGAACCCCGGGGTGAAGGCAGTCTCTCTCCGAGGGGTGGGGTGAGCACCCCGTGCAGGGAGGGGGTGCTCGGGACAGGGTGAGAGGTGGGGTGAGCACCCCGTGCGGGGGGTGGAGGGGGGCGGTGCTCGGGACAGGGCTGCTGCTTCTCTGCACTGTGCTGGCCTCAGGGTCTCAGAGGGGGTTCAGGGCCAGTGCCGAGGTGCCTGGGTGTGGGCCCTGAGGGCATGGCCAGTGCTGGAAGGGGCTGAGGGGTGGGCGGGGAGTTCGGAAGCCGTAGCCAGGGGGGGGCACCTCTTCTCACTCCCTCCTTCCCACCTCTCCCCTCCAGATGGCAGCTACCATTGACATGAATTTCCAGAGTGATCTATTGTCAATATTTGAAGAAAATCTTTTCTGAGAGCACCTAGGTGACTTCTGACTCTGATTTTCTGGCAAAACATTGACTCTCCATAGTGTTAGGGGCGGCAGTGGAGGCGGTAGCAGCGGCGAGGGGGTGTCTCCGGGCCTGGCCCTCCTGCATGCTGTGCCCGGGGCAGGCCTGACGGGCAGCTGAGGATCGCAGAGCCTGTCTGCCTTACAGCCAGCTGGACAGCCCGCCACCCACCACCCCCTCACGGGACGTCAGCTCAGAGCACGCCTCGCCACGAGCAAGTGCCGGCCAGACCCAAGCCGCGCGTCCCCGCGGGCAGGGCACAGGCCCTGCTCTCCGCCAAATGTCTACACAGTATACACAGGACATTGTTGCTGCCGCCACCACCGTGACTGGTTTCTGTCCCCGAGAAAGTGACGTTCGTGACGTCCTGCCCACCAGGAGTCCTTCCCCCCACACCCCAGCCACCACCGCCCGCTCCCAGGAGGCCAGGGCAGGCCCGAGCGAGCTGGAGGCGCCGGCCCACCCCTTGCTGGCACTGACTTTGCCTTGAACAGACCCCACCCCTCCCCTCCCCCCACAAGCCTTTAATCGAGAGCCGCTCTCTGTAAGTGTTCGCTTGTGCAAAAGGGAATAGTGCCGTGGAGGTGTGTGTGTGTCCATGGCAATTCGGAGCGAGGTGACTGTCACACGCGCGTGTGTGGGCCGGCCTCGCCCGGTGAGTGAGGCCACCAACCAAAGTCAGTTCCTTCCCAACTGTGTTTCTGGGTTTTTTTGTTGTTGTTTTTTTTTTTTTTTTTTTTTTTTTCCTATATATATATTTTTTGTTGGATTCTATTTTATTTTTAACTCTCTCTTCTCCTCCAGACACAATGGCACTGCTTATCTCCGAAATGGTGTGATCGTCTCCTCATTGAGCGGCGGCTGCCACCGCGCTGTGGGTAGTGTGTGACCGTGGCTGTACTGTGTAGTGAACATAGTTGGCATATCTTTGTTTGAAGTTTGTTGGTGACTCCACCAAACTGGTGTAAAAAAAACTCAAAAAAACCCACAAAAAACAAAACAAAACACAAAACACACAAAAAAAAACTGCCTATATTTTACTCAGTTTCAAACTTTATTAGTCTATTTTTAATTATAAAGCCATGTTTTCTTTTCCCTCCCCATTCCTTTGTTTTTTAATGTCAAATCTGTTTTGAGTTGTTTTTTACCAGGAAAGGAAGGGCCAGGGGATGAGGCGGGCACCAGGGGCTGGGGGCCACAGACCACTGAGGCAGAGGCTCCCCACCCAGCCTGACCAGCCGGCTGCCACTTCCCCTACTTTTTTTTTTTTTTTTTTTTTTTTAATTTTATAATTGGAGCCCTTGGTGAGGTTACGTGTGCCATGAGAACCCACTCTACACCACGTCGCTGGTGCCTCAGTGTTGGCCAAACTCTGGAGTCACTGACTGGTTTGACTTTCATACGGTGAATATGCATTTGGTCTGTACTGATCATGGAATAAACACATCTCTCTTTTTTAATGCTGGTGTCTTCCTGACATTTCTTTGTGAACCACCTGTTGCCTAGGTTAGGCCCAGGGCCGCTCCCCTGGCCCGGGCCCCCCCCCCCCCCCAAATCCCAAGCCACCTTTGTACAAGAACTACCACCAGGGCCACCTAGGCCGTCTCCTGTGACCACGTTGAAGCTGTGACAGGGAGTCCAGGCACCCATTCTTTCTATGGACCCTGGTCTCCTAGCGGGGTGACATGCTCCAGCAGAACCTGGCCAGACTCAAGACAGTATTTTCCCCCCTTCGCCCTCCTCCATCCTGGTCCCCCACTCACCAGAGGACTTGGGCCACTTCTGCCACCTTGCCTGCCTCTACCTTAACTGCTCCTTTCATTTAAGCTCAGGGTTAACCAGATGTTCTTAGATAAGTGTCCATCCCCCAAAATGGGATCCTCCCCCGCCCCATGCATGTAGACATGCACGCACACGTGCCTGCCCGAGAGATCCTGCCGTATGGCTACCCTGCCTCCCTTGCCTGTGTGCCACAAGGCGAGGGGGGCACTCAAGAGTGGCCCCTAGGATGTAGGATGAAAGTGTATCATTTATGTGTGCAGAGACGTAAACTGAAACATTTCTAGCACTGTTTCTTAACCCCTATCTCCCTTTTCTGTTTCAACCGGAAAAGCCCTTGTATCATCTTGTGTTTGGGATCTGCCGAAACCTCTTGGCAAGAGTGTAGTTCAGGCGACCGGCCACAGGCCCCCACTTGCCTCCGTACCCTTGCCCCACACCCAGCAGACACTTCCTCGATGTGCCACTGTGCTGCCGGTTCAAGTGGGACTTCATTGGTCCTTTGGGGTTTCTTCCATCTCATCCCACCCCCTCACTTCTGTTCCGTGTTTTGTTCAGTAACTTCCCCAGGCCAGGTCCGACTGTTTAGCTGGAGAAATGGTTTTGTCTGCACCTTCCTTCTAAAGATTTAATTCTTCCATGGCCCTCTCCACACCTCCCTGATGGGTGTTCCTCTAACTGGGTTGTAATTAGAACTTGGATCTACTATTTAATTTCTCTGGCCATTTCCCATTCCCTCCCACAGTACTAGAAATCTTAGTCCTATACAAGAGTAAGAGGTGTGTACAAGCCCCCCACTGTACTGTATGCACGGATCGCTTGGCCAATAATTATGTCAGTGAATCTGAGACTTGTATTAAACACTTTAGACATTTGTAGAAGGGAATTCGTAGACTTTTCACTTATATACTAAAGGTTTTTTTTTTTTTTTTTTTTGTGCAGTTCTCATTGCAAAAATAAACATTTGTACTGAATATAAAATTAACCATCCTGTGACTACTGCTGTCTTTTTGTCTGAGGGCAAAGCTGGGGTAGGGGGATGGAGGGAGTCGGTTTTGTGTAGCAGAGGAAGAAGGGCCATCCCCAGACTCCCACCAGCCATGCAGCCAGATTAGAGGACTCAAGGAGGCACAACCGGGATCACCCAGTGGCTGTGGAGGATTGATTTGATGGAAAGTGTAAAAGAAACCGAAGCTGTGATCCAGGCTAATCGTGCAAGAAAAGAAAGGTACTTGGTACAGGGAGAATAAACCTTTGTACAATACAAGCCATGTAATCATAGCCATCAAACCGAGTCTGAAATACATTGTTTACTGAGGCCGAACCACATAAACCACCATGCCCCTTTAAGTAGGAACCCACAGACTTAATTATGGGCCCAGGATGGTGTCCTGTTCAGCCTTAACAACACAAAGGTAGAGGTTAGCAGTGGGAGGTGACAAAAATAATGAGAAGGGTGTTTAAAGTTAGAGAGGAAACCAAAAGGAAAACTAAAAACGGGCAGGGTCCGTCCAGGGGTGGTGAGGCTCGAGTCCATGCTTAATGAACTTCCTAAATTGGTCCTCAAGAAATGGCCACACAAGCCTGTCGAGCGAGATACCTGGGTAACCACCAGAAGAAAGCTAACAGCGTTCCAATGGCCGCCTCCGAGCGGGAGAGGTGGAGCCCGAGATTATTGCTTTTTTCATAAATCTCGTTCAGCAAGTTGTATGGCTTTAGGCAAATGACTTAATCCCCGAATTTCAGGTTCGTGGTCTGTAATACAGAGATGTGATAATAGTACCTACACTTAATAGGGTTGTTACGTGGGTTAAACGGTGAGTGACCATGAGATGTTTAGGATCTTGGGGGAAGGTTGCAAAACAGGAGGAAGAACCTGCCCTGTCGGCCTTCTCGACCGATCCTGACCGACTTCCTCTTTCTGACCGCCCCAGGGACTCAACCCGCCCGGTCCTCCGGCTCGCGGGCCCGGTCAGCCCTCTAGAAGTTAAGAGTCTCCGCGTCTCCATTGGTCGCCACCGGCGAATCCCCACCCCCCAGCCCGGCCTCAACACCCGCCGATTGGCTCCCGGGCGAGACCTGTCACCCGCACGTCAATGACCACCGCCCTCCAATCACAGCCGTGCAGGGGCGGGGCCGGCGGGCGCTGGACTAACTGGAGGACTTCCCGGGGTCGAGGCCACTGGACCCGCCGTTGGAACCAGGCCTGGGTGAGGGTGCTGCTAGGTCTCTCCCAGCCAGGCCAAGGACAGGGCCGCGCAGTCCAGGGATGGGAGCTCCGAAGGGCGGCGGCAGGGGCTCTCAAGTCCTCCCCGGGTTGCGGCGACCGCCCGCGCCTCCTAATCCCAGCCAAGGCACTACCTGTCCCCTCCTTCCGCTTCCGGGCCCGCCCGCCCCGCCATATTAGGTCCCGGCCCCGCCCCCCGTCCCTTCATCCCGGAGCCGGGCCGACCCCCAGCTTATTGGCCCAGCCCTCGCACCCAAAGTATCCTGGCCCAGCCTCCGGCCTTCTCCCGCCCAACTTTAGGCCCCGCCTCATCTGGACTCCACCCTCGCCCCGCCCGCCCTCTAAGCCACGCCTCCATCTTCTACGCAGCTCCTAGGCCAAGGTGGGTCCACGGTTCCGGCGCGTAGGCCGCACCTACCCTGCATTGCTCCGCCCCTTCGCTCCAGGCTCGGCCCATTTCACTAAAGTCACCTCCTGATCCCCTGTTTGTCCAGACATCAATCTCTCTCTAGACTTAATATTCCCACCCACCCGCGGCGGAGTCCTACTAGGCCCCGCCCCCTTATGAAGCCCCCCCCCCCGCCTGCCTAGGCCCCGCCCTCAATTCGCTTCCCCTCTCCTCAAAGCCCCTCCCCAGCCTCGGAAGCCTGGTCCTCGCAGGCTCCATCCCCGCACCCTATCCTTGTTCCCTGTCGCCGTCGCGCCCAGGTGTTTACCTGGCACTTAGGTGACTCGTGTGCGGTGGCTGTTTCGATATAAGCCTCCCGCCTCTTCTCTCGGCGCGTTCCTTAAGCCCCGGAGGCACGGAGGGTCCCCGGACCAAAGGCGGTGGGCTTCCCAGCCCGGATCCCGCCTCGCTGCTGCTGCTCTCGCCCCCCGCCCCCCGAAGGCAGCGCCGAAGTCGTCCCGGGTTGCGGCGGCATGCCGGAGCTGGTGGTGACAGCGCTGCTGGCGCCGTCGCGCGTCACTCTGAAGCTCCTGCGCGCCTTCATGTGGAGCCTCGTGTTCTGCGCGGCGCTACTGACCGCCGCCGTCTATGGCTGCATCGCGCTCACGCACGTGCTGTGCCGGCCCCGGCGCGGCTGCTGCGGGCGCCCCCGGCGCACCCCACCCGCCTGCTTGAGCGACCCCACGCTGGGCGAACACTGCTTCCTGACCCTCAAGGTGAGCGCGCGTGCGCGGGCGGCTGTGCGGGGGGCCGTCGGGGCTTCGGGTGTCGAGAACCCCGGGAGGTCGGGCCCCGTCGGGGCCGAGCCCCGGTGAGCGGAGAGCAAACGGTGGAATCCAAACGGGGGTCGGCGCGTGGCCGGAAGGGCGGGGAGGGGGGGGGTGTCAAGCCTAGTGAGGAGGGCCTCCCCGGGTCTCTGACTGTGCCCTCCCCCAGAGCTCGGGCCTGCGCCTCCACTATGTCTCCGCTGGACGTGGCAACGGACCCCTCATGCTGTTTCTGCACGGCTTCCCGGAGAACTGGTAGATATGAAGCCCAGGGGCTTGGGGCGCCCAAGGCCGCAGGTGGAGCTGGAGGTGCCGCGGGGCTGGCTGGGTAGACTGGGGGCCCAAGGCATAGAAGGGGGTGCTCGAGGACAGGCGTCTCCAGGAATGTCCCTGCAGAAATGGGACAAAGAGGTATCAGTGTCGACGCTGCCCTGGACCCAGAGTGCAGCCGACCTTGCCTTCCGCGCGGGGTTCCCCCATCTTCCTTTCTGGGAAGTCCAGGGCAGGGAAGTCGGGTTGCCGAAGGCCCCTGCTGGGCGTAGGGTGGAGGTGCAGCCTGGGGACCCTGACTCAACCTCCCTCTCCACCCGCCTGACAGGTTCTCCTGGCGCTACCAGCTTTGGGAGTTCCAGAGCCGCTTCCACGTGGTGGCTGTGGACCTACGGGGTTACGGCTCCTCAGATGCACCTCGGGATGTTGACTGTTACACCATCGACCTGCTGATGGCGGACATCCAGGATGTCATCCTGGGCCTGGGTGCGGATACCCCCATCCCAGGCCTGGCCTCCCTCACCCCTGCCTTGCTTCTCCCTGGCTTCTCACCTCCACTGGTTCCTCTCACCCCCCCCCCCAGGTTATTCCAAGTGCATCCTGGTGGCCCACGACTGGGGTGCGGTCCTCGCCTGGAATTTCTCCATCTACTACCCGTCCCTGGTGGAGCGGATGGTTGTTGTCAGTGCGGCCCCCATGTCTGTGTACCAAGGTGTGTTGGGGAGCCCGGGACGCTGGAATATGCCTGTGTGGAGGGGCTTGTCTCTGTGTCTACACTTCCTTGTCCACCAGTCAACACCGCCCCCCCCCCCCCACGGGGGGGCTGGGGGACACCCATGATGCTCCCAATCTACAATCAGTGACCGTGCACTCAGGAGTAACTCACGGTTTCTGAGCACCTACAGGTAACAATTGCCCTGACAAGGAGCTTTGCATATACATAACCAACACAAGCCTCTGTGCATACGAAAGTGTCGTTATCTCCACGATCCAGTTGGGGAAACTGAGGCAAGAGAGGCTAAATGTCTTTCTTCTGGCAAGGAAGGCATAGATGAGTAAGCAGATACCCGTCTCATCACCTGATTCTAATTCCCAGTATAATAGTCCTAGTGCTGTGGTCTCTCTCCCACTCTCTCTCTCCCTCCGTGTTGTTGTTTCTTGTCTGTCTCTGTCTCTAGACTGTCAGCTCTCAGGCGGGCAAGGGAGTTTTGTTTGTGCCATTTACTGCTGTGTCGCCAGGGTTTTAAACAGGTCCTGGCATACAGTAGGTGCTCCATAAGTGTTGAAATGCATCCAGACCTGGGCAGTGGCTGCAGACAGAGGTGTCCCCATTCTGTGGATACAGTGACCACTTGGCAGGGAGGGACACCGGCATCCGGGCCAGGACGAATGTCAAGTCACCCCCACGAGGTCCGGCATGCGATAACATTCCTGAGTGTTGGTGCATCTGTGTGCCTGACCTGGGTGCGTGTAGGAGTGCGAGGGGGTGGGGCCACCCCAGGCCCAGGCCTCACATCTGCCTTTCCCCTGCTGCCCACAGACTACTCTACACACCACATCAGCCAGTTCTTCCGTTCCAACTACGTGTTCCTGTTCCAGCTTCCCTGGCTGCCTGAGAAGTTACTGTCCATGTCTGACTTCCAGGTGCAGTGGGGCAAAGGCCTGGGGGTACATGGAGGGTGGGGGGCTGGGACTGGGCAGGCTGGGCACTGAAACCGTAGGTCTGCTGTGTACCCAGATCCTGAAGACCACCCTCACACACCGCAAGAGAGGCATCCCACACTTAACTCCCAACGAGCTCGAGGCCTTCCTTTATGACTTCTCCCAGCCCGGTGGCCTCACTGGGCCCCTCAACTATTACCGAAACCTCTTCAGGTGAGACCAGACCCGGGGCGGAAGCTCAGGAGAGTTCTGGGGGGCAAGGGGGAGGGGCGGTTATTCTTCCACCTGTCTTGGCCCTAGGAACCTTCCCCTGGAGCCCCAGGAACTGGCCACGCCCACGCTGCTGCTGTGGGGAGAGAAGGACACCTACTTGGAGCAGGGGCTGGTAGGAGCCATCAGCAGTCGCTTTGTGCCCGGCCGGCTGGAGGCCCACATCCTGCCAGGTGTGGGGCACTGGATCCCACAGAGCAACCCCGAGGAAATGCACCAGTACATGTGGGCCTTCTTGCAAGACCTGCTAGGCTAGCAGCCCTCGCTCCCTGGCCTGTGTGCACCTGGGAGTCCACACCACGTGCACACCACGACGGACTCCCGGATCACGCACAGGCGTAGAACTCCTAGACCACACACGAGTGTGTCTGTGGATGCCCGCAGGCACACCAGGCTGTTTGCTCACACACCAGTGTGAGTGTCTGTGCACCTGAACAAGCACTTCAGCCCTGGGGAACCGGGAACTTCTCTCCTCTGCAGAGCTGGATACCCAGTGTCCTACCTCTCCCCTCCCTGGGGCCTTCCCCTTCCTGCCAACGTCAGCCCCCAGAGCTGCACAAACCACAGACTCTGACCTTCCCGTCCCTGGCTTTCATCTCCAATCTGAGTCTTCAGCTAAAAGCTGTTCTGTCCAGTAGGGTAACTGGCAGCCGTATCTGGCTGCTTCAATTTAAATGGAAATTAATTAAAATATGATCGATTAAAAATCCAGTCCCTCGGTCACTCTAGCCATGCTTCAAGGGCTCCACTGACACATCAGCATAAAGCATTCTATTGGACAGTGCTGATGAGGGTACTTCTAGAAAGGGGGGTCTGTACCTGGCTCCTGACCAACTCTCCAAGGAAAGACCCTCATGTACAAGCAGGTGTGTGTCTAGATTCCTGTCTAGGCAGGCCCTGGGCAGCTCCCACCCGGTTGTGACTCCAGACCCTGTAAGGTCAAGATCTCTAGGTGCGGCCTGGGCAAGATCCCTGGGATCCCTGTCTCAGATTCATGGAAGAACAGCTCTAGGCTATGCTAGGGTGGATGTTTGAGATTCTGGACAGGGCACAGGAAGGGACTGGCTCCCTGAATGACCATCTGAAGTCTGAGGCCTGCCTCTCCAGCGCCTGGAATCTTCTCCAGGCTCCAGATGAGGGTGGGACAAGTAGAGGGTGAATCATCCAGCCTCAGGCTGGCCATGGCCCTTCTGTCTCCCCAGCCTTTGCCTGGCCTTTGGGGACCATGTCATGACGAATGCTGATGAATCTCTCTGGGGACCTGCAACCTCAGAAATACATTCTCTTATCCCTGGGATGGGTCTGGCTGGCTAAAGCTTGCCTGTTGGTCATCCCCCTCTGTACTGTCTTGTCTCTAACATAACATCCTTTTCATTCATCCCGTGTGTCAGGCACTGATCTAAGCGCTGGGGAGTGAACAACACAGCCTTACTCTGGAGTTAACAGAACGGGCATAGAGAGCTAGGTGAGTGTCTGGTGACTCAGGAAAGGCTTCCCTAGCTGGGGGACACACTTCAGGGAGTGGGAAGCCGTAAGCAGGAAGGTTGGAGGTGGAAATAAGCCTAGGCTCCTGGAGTAACAACGTGGGGATTAGTGGCTGCGAGAGAGGAGAAGAGGCCACAGCCAGACGGCCAGGGGCTGTGAGGAGTTTGGATTCGGTTCTCAAGGGGAGTCAGAGAAGAGTTTTCAGCAGGGAGGAACATGGCTTGCATTTTGAAAAGCTCTCTGTTGTGGCCGGACAGTCCCACGCAGGAGTGCGAGTGGTGAGACAGCTGGGGGCCATGCGCTGCCTCAGCACGGGCGGCCCGTGGGGCCCGACGGGAGCCGGGATCCCCAGCGCCCGACCCACCTCGGGCCCCCCCACTTCCAGGGTGGGAACAGTGCCCCTTGGGGTCGAGGAGATGGGCCGGAGGGGAAGGGGACCCCGCGACCTCGGAGCCTGGGGTGGAGGTCTGGGCCGAGGAGGCCTGCGGGCAGGATGAGGATGGTGTGTCCAGGGGGCGGTGGGTCTGGCGACGGTTGCCAGGGTGATGGGGAAAGGGCTGATGGTTGACCGGAACGGGTAGCGGTTGTCTGGGTGATTGGAGGGGCCCAGGCGAAGGCTGACGGGAGGCCTCGGACAGTTGCTGGGGCGACAGGTCCGCTGACGGTTGCCAGGGTAACAAGAAGGCGCCGTCTTCCGCCTCCTCGGCTGCGGGCGGGAGGGAGTCAGAGTCGGGGGGTGGGGGGGAATTCATCGCGGTGGTTGGGCAGAGTCCTGGCTAGCGAGCCAATAGAGACTCGTGACTCGGACGAAGCCAGCCTGAGCCAATCGGGGCGCGCCTTTCTCCCAGAGGCGGGGCTGGGCGCGCGCATCCTTTCCAGGCCAGAGAAGGGACCCGGAGGGTTTGGAGGGAGGCGGCCCGGCTGAGACCCCTACCAGGCTCGGCGACTCCCTTCCCCTGCTCCGAGCTCCCGGCTCCAGACCGCCTTCCATCATTCATTCATCAGTCAGTCGGTCGCTCAGCCATTCATTCATTCATTCATTCATTCATTCACTCGTTCATCTGTCCTGCCACAGGCTCAAAGGCTTTGGCGGTACACCAGAGGAGGGGCAGGGGAGGCGGAGCCGGGCTCGAGTGGAATAAGCAACGCGGGTGGGGGGGGGGGGGGGCCCGGGGGGGAGTGGGAGGGAAGGCTCCCTGGAGGAAGCAGCCTTGGAGCTAACCCCTGCAAGGATGCGCTCCAACCCACGGAAGCCTCCACGCACAGCTGATTTAGTGTTCCTTGAGACTGGGAGGGAAGTTTGGGATGGGGGAAGACGTGGAAGCAAAGGACAGGACTTGGATGTCCCGAGCACCCTTAAGCAGGAGTGAGGAGGGAAGAATGGGGACCCCAAGCTGTGAGCCTAGAGGAGATAAGTGGCACATTCAAATGGGGTAAGTTGAGGCAGGTTTGCTACAGGGACCACATAGAGTGAGCAGGGTTTGGAGAAACCAAAGGGGCAAAGCAACCACGGAGAGCCATTACCATCTCCTGGTCCCCCTGACCGGACAAGGGGAAAGAAGGATGTTAGAAGCCAAGCACAGATTCACGCAGACAGGGCCTTTGGTCAAGGGGTGCTACTAGCTGAGCTGACCCCACAGGCAGGGATGCAGGAGGATTAATACCCCATTCTCTCCTTTGGCTTCATCTTCTGCCAGTGCCTCCTATTGGCCAGACCCACCTGGAAGCCAGAGGACAAGGCCGTCCATTGATGCAGCCAGTAGAGGTCAGCCTCTGGGGGCACGGAGTGGAGTGGAGGAGGGGAAGAATGAAGGGAAGGGGCACGGGGAAAAGGGGGTGAGGGGGAGAAAGTCAGGAGCTTGGGGGGGGGGGGCAGCGTGAAAGGAGCACTCACTGCAGATTCCTGTGAACTTCACTTTGTCGTGGAAGAGGGCTCACGCTCTGGCCAAAGGAAGAGGTAATGAAAAGCCCTGGGGAGGCATTTCCCTTCTCTGAAACAGGAGGACAGGGAGGGAGGACAAGCTTCAAGGGCCAGGGAGCCAAGGACAGGCAGGGGCCATCAGGGCATCATGGTTCAGACCTGAGCAGGAGGAGATGGGGTCTGGAGGGAGGTTGTGCACACGGACGACTCCAGCGGTCTGAGCCCAGGGCCTGGGAGGCCAAGATGCCCAGCGATGTCCCACCCAGTGGAGGGTCCTACGACAGGGACACCGCCACCTCCAGAGCTGCAGGGCCGGCAGCTGCTCAATAGAAGTGAGTTTTGTTCTCTTCACTCTTTTCCATACTCAGTTCTCACCCCCCCCATCTCCTCCTCCAAGAACCGCCCCCCCCCCCAGCCCCCAGCCCGCATCCCTTCCTCTGTCGGAGCCCTGATCTAATGGGGGCAGTCTCAGAGCTGCCAATGGGCACATTCAAGTCCCACCTCCTGGCTCCTGCTCTGCACTGAAATGTGCTTGGTAGATTCATTCGATCGACTGATAGTTGTTTCACCTACTGTGGGCCAGGCTCTAGGCTAGACACTGGGGATTCAGCAGGGAGCAAGACGGACACCCACAGAGCTCAGAATCTGAGGGGGACCCAGGAGGGATCATGTGGTAGGCGGGGGGGGGGGGGGGGAGGCCATGGGAGCCCAGAGGAGCTAGTGTGAGGCCCCAGGGACCACTCCCTGGGAGAAAGGAAGGCAGAGCTTCCACAGGGATCTCCTACAACCTCCGATCAGCTTCTCCCTGCTAAAATGCTCCAGCGGTGGCCACTGTGCTTGCAATGAAATCCCAGACCCTTGAGACTTGGCCCCCATCGTCTTCCTCGACCTCCCGGCTCTCAGTCACTGTGTGCCCAGCATTCTGGCCCCCTCACCCTTCCTCCTCTGGGCCTTTGCACTCGCCCTTCCCTCTACCTGGAACACCCTTCCTCCGGCTGTTTGCTCCTGTGTGGCTTCTTCTCCTCCTTCAGGTCTCAGCTGTAACGTCCCCTAACTCGGTGAGGCCTGTCCTGCCTGCCCCTGTCACTGAAATCTCTCCTCCCCCCTTGCCACAGTCCATGGTTCTTATTTGTTTGCCTTCTGGTTTCTTTTCTTCTATTTATTAACTTAAAAAAATTTTTTTTTTAAGTTTATTTATTTTGAAAGAGTGAGAGAGAGAGCGTGAGCAGGGGAGGGGCAGAGAGAGAGGGAGAGAGAGAATCCAAAGCAGGCTCCGCGCTGTCAGCATGGAGCCCGATGCAAGGCTTGATCCCACGAACTGAGAGATCGTGACCTAAGCTGAAATCAAGAGCCTGTCTGTCTTCGACAGCTGTGCCTGTGGTTGGTTGTCAGTAAAATGTTTGTTGAATGACTGAATGTTTGTTGAATGTTTGTTGAATGAGTGAATGAAGGCGAGGAGAGCTGGAGGGGCAGAGTGAATGGAGCCTGCAGGGTATGAGAAAAGAGCTCCCAATGGTAGACGCAGCCCGTGCCAAGTAAGCTGAGGAGGGTGTCACTCTGGGCAGTGGGGAGCCATAGAGGGTTGGAGCATGAGGAGGCCCTAGGGAGGCAGTGGCCAAAAGAGCTGGTCGGGTCTGCGGCCGACAGCCCCTGGAGTCCTGCCTTCCCACTCTTGCCCAGGGCCCACACCCAGCAGCCCTCACCCCTGCTGGCTCCCGTGGCCCGCTGTCTGGGCCTGAGGGCCCGGCCCCAGCTTTGGTGCAGAGGGCGGGACTGTGGGCCCTGGAGGAGAAGCTGAGGGCACGTTCTCAGGTTCCCGGTCATCGGCCTGGGCCCAGCAGCTGTGTCTTGGCCTGGGCCCAGGTCCTGTGTCCCTGGGGACTGAGCTCATTGAGGAGAAACGCAGTCCTGGGCCAAGGCGGCCATCAGGGGCAGGGGAGAGGGCTCGGGCTCACCCCCTATCTCCACCACATTGGGAACTGTGTGGAATCCCACTGCGAGGCTGTGGGAATGGTCGTTCCAGACTCTCCTGTCCCCCAAGGGTCCTGACACCTTGGGCTGGGCCTGCCACTGTGGCTGGAGGGCAGCAGGATCCTGGAGCCAGGACTCCGCATTCTACTTGCTGAGTCATGGGGACTTGACATGGGATTGACACCCAGTAGGGGCTCTGTAAATATGTCTTTCTGTCTTTTGTCTCCACTGCCCCTCATGCTGGCCTCAGCCTGTGTTTTCACTACTTTTGCTCCCTTTCCTTCTCTGCTTGCTATGGACCAGAGGCCACTGGATCAGCAGAGTCACAGACTCT